CATTTCTCCTGTGCTTGACATAGCGGTCATTTGTCTCACATTCCTGTATGTGAGCAGCCCACTCAAGTCAGGAGCCTACGTGGATTTTTTAATGTCGACAATCACATCAAACATTCCCAAATTTCCACCATGCGTTCCCATACGGTGCACATCCTTCCTGGACTTCCTGTTTGAGAAAGACATTAACTGCATCCTCCTATTCCTCAGATTACTCCTCTATTTAGGTGTGAGTTTCCTTCCGCTTACATTTTTCATTGTCTCATCAATTTTTGTCATTAAATAATATTGTAGTACGTGCTTTTGGGCATATTTCTACCTCAGTTTTTCTGGCCTGTTACGTAATATTACATTGTACATTATAGGGTAGGAAAAGTAGGCTTGTTATAATAATTACTATATCGACTTATGACTTAAAAATGTTGCCACAATATGCATCTAACGGTACGATATTTATTGTGATATTTCGGAGAGGTTAATATAATTGTTGACAGGACACTTTTTTGCTTTTGAATACCCTGACTAGATTTTGGTGTGAATTATTTCCGTCATAATCCCCAAAAAATCAAGTAAAAACTAATTTTTTCGTGTTGTCTGCACTGAAATGAATCATGGGATATGTAGTTCCCGATGTTTACAAGCTGTAAAACCATGCATTTAAGCAAAGAAACTTGTGATTCAATATATTGTGACAGCCCACGATATTATTGTGAGACTTTTGAAGACACGATATCACGATATTTCCGTTATTGTTTCATCCCTGTTATCATGTGCACAATTTTTTTGCGATAATTTGGAGATCTTTGCAATTTTTCTGTACTGTATAAGATTTGAGCTGTAGAGCGTTGAATAAATAAAATACTTCTGTGGCTAATTGTATGTTCATTCTGCCATTTTTGTTGCAGCATATGCCTTGTAATGTAATGTTTTTACTGGAATTATCCTGTTTTGTGTTGTGGAAGGGATGTAACAATAACCGAAATATAGTCATATTGTTTCGTCAAAGTTCTCACAATAATATCGTGAACCATCACAATATATCGAATTACAAGTCTCTTTGCTTAAATTAAGAGTTATGGTGCAGCAATAGCTAAAAAAAAAGACAGAGGGAACTACAGAGACCATGATCCTTTGCTCCATTTCAGTGTAGACTACATGAAGAAATAACAGTTCTAAGCACTTTTAAGTTTTAGTTCTTTGGATTAAGTTTTGTCAAGGCAGTTTTAACTGTTTAGCCTCCACAAAATATCTCAATAAATATCGTACCATGAGATGTATATTGTGAAAATATTGTACAGACAGATTTGGATATTGTTACATTCCTAATCGTGAGACTCCCCACCATATCATGAACTTTCCCACGATATCGCAATAAATATTGTACAGTGAGGTTCATACCGTGACAATATCGTATCGTGAGACTTGGATATCGTTACACCCCTAGTTAGTAGTACAAAGTAGTTTCAATGTTATCCTTTATCGTGATATTTCTCTGTTGCGATATATTGTGTTTCAAAATATATTATTGTGACAGGCCTAGTTATTACATTGAAAAGAGTAATATATGATCTTGTATAGGGTTGTAGGATTTTGAAAAAAAAAAAAAAAAATCAAACTGCATTTTTTTGTGTTGTGATAGCGATTAAATTTGTGATTTATATTTTCACGTCAGGGTTCAGTTCACAGTTCACATTTTAAACTCAGAGAAGAACACTGAAATATGGACTGCTGAAGTATCCCAAGAATGCCATACTTTTCACAGCATGTTTGCAGAGATCTAAACTATAATGGATTAGCATGCCTTTCCTAAACAGAGAACAGAGAACATTCCACTGCCTAAATAATTGCTCTATAATTCTTCTATGATTTGATAATTGCAACTCTTTAAATTGTGATTTCTATTTGATTGTGATATATTGTACAGTCTTACCATTTGCACTGTATTGTATCATTTGTTTTAAGCTCACAAAAGGGGTGACCGTGACCAGTGAGCAGGAATCAAACCCAGGATCTTCTTGTTCTGAGGCAAAAATGCTAACTACAGAGCCACTAGTCCACAGTAATGTTTAGTGTTTTTTTTTTTTTTTAGTAAATTTTTTTTTGTTTTATATATATATATATATATAGAGAGAGATTTTTAAGTGATTTATTTATTCATTTATTTATATTTGTATTGTATTTATTTTATTTTATTTTTATTTTTTTTAAATAGGTAAGTTTATTTTTATTTAAGTAATTTTTTTAAGTACAATTTTTTTTGTTATATATGTATATTTAAGTTTATTATTTATTCATTTTAAGTAAGTAAGTAATTTTTAAAAGTTTATTATTTATTTCTTGTTTTTTTTTACTGTATTTTTTATTTTATATAATTAGGTTAGTGTTTTTTTAAGTTTATTTTTTTTAAAGTAATTTTTTAAAGTAAAATTTCTTTCTTATATATATTTTTTAAGTTTATAATTTTTTTTACTAAAGTAATTTTTTAATGTTTTTATTTATTTATTATTTTTTATTTATTTTTATTTTATATATTTAGGTTAGTGTTTTTTTTTAAAGTTTATTTTTTTAAGTAAGTTTTTAAGTACAAAAAAACTTGTTACATGTTTTTTTTATTATATATATATATATATATATATATATATATATATATATATATATATATATATATATATATATATATTATATATTAAAAATTTTTTAAGTTTATTTTTTGTTTTGTTTTATTATTTATTTATTTTTATTTTTTTATGGTATTTTTTGATTTTACATATTTTTTTAATCTTAGGAAACTCAAACCAAAAGCTACTCTTTTACTAGAAAAAGCTGCGTAAACATGACAAGTAATTCTGTTTTTGAATGTTGTCGCCTAAAATAAAAGTGTAGTACATTGTGTTTTATCATGTATCAATAGCATATATCAATAGCAGTACCCCTCTTGTATCTACAGCCGTGACACTTTACATTACAGTACATTATAGCCTGAACGTGACATGGGCTCATAGATACATGTTTCCCTTTATGTTTGCCTGCAGTAGATAAACCGGCGGAGGTTCCTGGGGGTGTGTGTGGCGTCATACACAACGCAGGGAAACTAGAAAGTCATAAAACACTATAAAGGGAACAAAGACACGAGTCGAGAAAATGAGGAAGCAGTTTACAAACTATAAAGGGCCCAGTCAGCAATACAAGCCCAAAGAAGGGGAAAAGATGGCCGTAATAGAAACGATTGGCACAGTGCACATGAGAAGTAGGACAAAGGGGAGCTGGCTGCAGAGGAGGAGTATCCACTGTCCGCGTTAGCCTTTGCAGTACACAAATGCCAGCTACGCATAAAGAGCAGTGGGTTTAGTGACAGAGGAGACGTACGCTGGGTGCTGTGGGGTTACGGGTTCACAGGGGTGGGAGATATTGATAGTGCATATATTTTTAGATTATTCCAATAATTGTAAATCGGATGACATTTTGCTGTCCGTAGAAAAAGTGCTTGATTGTGGCTGTGTTTTGGCAGAGGGTCAAGGACTGTAAAATGATCCAAAAAATTGCTGAAAATGTTTGTTTGAAAGATTATGCTGCAGGTTTTATATTTTTTATTTTTATTTGTTTTTAATGTTATTGTATTTTAGAACTTCTTTTGTGTGTGTGCTTCAATACCGCCAATTTTGGATCTTCAAAGCAACTGTATATTTTAGGGCTGGGTATCATAACAAGTTGCAGATACGATACATATCTCGATACACTGCACTTTCGATTTGATACGATATATTTCAAATCCATTCGATATGGTTCATTAAAAAGATAAAGGCTAAGTCATGACTGTGATTAAACCACTTCTTGTGCAAAGTTCAGATGAAACACAAACATTTTAATCATCAAAACTGAAAATGTCAAATGTGTTGCATAAATTCATCTGAACCAGACATGTCAAACTCAGGCCCGGGGGCCAAATTCGGCCTGCAATATAATCATATTTGGCCTGAGATCAAATCAAATATGCATTAGAGCTGGTCTGCTTGCTTCAGAAAGGCTATAGAGACATTATTTATTAAAAATTGTGTTATTATTTTATATTATGCTTGTTCTCAATTCACTGTTTAAGCAAAACACTTTTAAACATTTATTTTAATAAGAAAAGATTTAACATTCCATATCTTTAGAAAACATGCAGATATTGTTGAAAATGTTCAATAAATATTAAGTTTGGCCCATGACTTAGTCCCAGTTTTTAATTTTGGCCTCTGTGAATTTGAGTTTGACCCCCTTCTCTAAACAAACAACAAAACTGCAGCACTGCAACAAAATAATTGAGCAAAATATATCAAAAAATTCTCTTAGCGATATATCGATACAGCAGTCCATGATATCGATACAGTACCATCACATTAAACAATACGATATATTGATATTCTGATATTTTGCACACCCCTAATATTTACTCTTTACCCACTTTGCTCCAGAGATGCTTTGTGCCTGGTTGTAGCACTAGAGGAAAGGAAAATTCAATTTGTCAACTGGACAAAAGTTTTTATTTATTTATTTATTTATTTATTTTTCCACCTGTAGTCCCTGATGCATGTTTTTTTTTAGGTTTGTAATATCAGTTGACAACTATTCTGTTAACTTCAGTATTGACTTTGTGTCATGTTGAGATAAATAAACTGCTCAATCATCATTATTCAATAAAATATAATATATCAAGTAATAAAACTATATTTACAAGTGAACTAGATTAAAAACTGAATTTAATCTCGGCTCTGAACAGGATATATATAGGAGCAGTGGCTTGGCTGTGATCCACCCTCTCCTGTTGCTTTCTCATACACTTTAACTTCTTATCATCCACACCTTTCCACTTAGACACTTGTTATTTACCCAGTATTCTCTGCAATTACTAACTCCGCCCCCTGTTATCATCGCCGCTCGCTCTTTACACTACATTTGTATTTATTTTCCATATGCTTCCCTTATTCCCAACAGTCCCTTATGATATCCTCTTCTGATTTCAGGGCGGAGACGAAGCAGGCTGGCACCGCAACGCGCCGCATGCAGTGGGGGCTGTGGAAATCATTAACCCAACAACAAGCACACACAATATGACAGGTACGTGCTAAGGTGATAATTATAATCACCGAGCATTCACGCTTTTCATTGTCTTCATTGCGTTTTTTACCTGTGAGGGTTTATTTTCAGTCTTTTCTCAGCTGGTTGTGCTGTATGTGCTATAATTGTTTTTGACTCACTCATTCAAGACCATTTAAAGCTGCGCTGTGTAACTTTTGTAAAGGAGAGCCTGCCACCTGTTTGTCTCTGTGGAGATGTTATAGTTTTGTAGTATAGCAATCTTGTTGATGTCAATGGAGACGAGCAGTTGATGGTACTAGATCAAGTTACAAGGCAGATCTGTGGAGAGGCGACTCACTGTTACTGATACTGATTGTAAGGCTGTGCAATTAATTGAATTTAGATCGGGATTGTGTATCAAATGATCTCCAAACTCATATAATCAAGTTGAAACAAAAGCTTAACAAAGTTTATTTTGGGATATTTTTTTAATATAAATAAGTATGTTTATTTTATTTTTAAATATTGAGATTGTAGAACAGCTGGATTTATATTTTATTTTGGATACATTTATGTTTTTCTATCCCTTATTACATGTAAATAAAGTATATTTTATTCATTTTATGTTTTATACATCGCAAAACTGCTCTAAGGTACAGATTCGTAACCTATATTTATTTTCATTTTGAAAGTTAAGTTATCAGTTTTTGAGAAAGAGAGAAATGCAGAATAAATGTATCATGTAACTAAAAAATAATCATTTGAATCATCGTGATTTCAATATTGACCAAAATATGCTTCACAACACGCTGGGGGTGTTTTACATGTGTCTGTATTGGAGGAATGTTCATCAGTTGCCACGGTGATGCAATGCATTCGCAAACAGACAAAAAAGATTTAAGATAATAAATTTAAAACCTGTTATTTGAAAAGTTATTTGTTTAACATCACAAATCAGATCACCTGTTGTAGCTCCAGCAAAGTCACTTCTTTCTGGTCAGATCGTGTTTAAATAAATCAAAATCTGATTAAAGTCTTAACAAGCCTCAGACAGAGCAGTGCTTACAGTTAACATCACAACCCCAGGGAACATTGATACCATCCGCCGCAAAGTCTCAATTCCAGGCAAAAACAACGACATCTCCACGGAAAGGAGCAGGTGGGAGAGCATAAAAGTTACATAGTGCTCATTTAACTGAAGTACGCTTTGTGATGGTCTGTGGCATATAGCAGAAGTTGGAAAGAAAGAGAGAAATGTTATCTCAAAACAATACAACAGCTATTTGTTTTGATAAATGCTGAAACTGCAAAAGAAGACACAGCGAGAGACAATATATATTACTGTAACGGCTGTGTTGTGAACCAAAGCACTTTGATTTTTCCACCAGCGTGCAGTAGAGAGCCTGTGCAGGTTTATATATATTGGAGAGGACCACTAATATTAATAGCAGCTGCTCCGGCAAAGTCAAAAGGGACATCAGCAATCTCGAATTACCACTGTTGTGCACAATGTTACAACACAACGCGAGTTCGAATGGGTGGGCTAAGGTTGCACTACATTACGGGAATATGAAGAAGAAGTGCTGTGAGGATTGAATGATTACACTGACGATTATGATCTCTAAAGGGATGAATTGGACTGAAAGTAGTGGTTGGTTCTGCGATTTTGGTGGGTTTTTTTTTTTAAAAGCGCTCTGCCTTACGGTCACAAAATGGGCCTTCACTATCTCTGGCCAGATAATAATCTGTCGCATCCTGCTGTTGTTGTTGCTTTATTGATTATTTCTTCAGGGCCTAGTATTGAATTGTTTTAAAATGTATAGTTTTGAGTGAAAGCTGCGTTCTGTCATTGTATAAGTATTGTATTCATAAGATGTTGGTGTTACTAACGTACAGAGCAATGGTTTCCAAAAGTGAGAGTTTTGAGGTGTTTTCAAGACATAAAAAAATGCTGACAATTAGTGCAAAAATATTGAAATATCAATATATTGTATCGTTTAATTTGATGATACAGTATCGATATCATGGGCTGCTGTAATTATATTTTGTCAAGAGTAATTTTTGGTATATTTCACAAAATTATTTTGTGTAAGAGCTACAATTGTGTTGACATTTTCACAGTTTTGCGTAAAATGGGTGTTTTTCATCTTAACTTTACACAGACTTAGTGGACTTAGTATCACAGCCATGATTTAACCTTTGTTTTTCACTGAACTGTATTGAATCGTATCGAATCATATTGTGGCCTATGTATTGAGGTATGTATTGTATCAACAACTTCTTAATGATGCCCAGCCCTACTCACAGTGTATTTATTTTCATTTTTAAAGGTCCATTATTACACAAAGTCATGTTATAATGTTGTTACCTTCTTAATTGTTCACCCGGAGTTGTGTTTTGTTTCATTCACATAAGTTTAAGTAGAGAGAAGTACTCCTGAATGAAACTAAACATATAAAAATTTCAGGTATGTTTTTTTGAAAAGGAAACAACATTATAACATAGATCAGAAAATCTCATAATATGTGCGCTTTCATTGGAACAGGGTCCAGCAACACAATTATATTAAAATAAATATCGTTTGTGTGGAAAGCCCTGATCTAGAGACATCTGCCTACAAGTGTGCACAGATTTGCATGTTTAATTTGACTTAATTGTATTTGTGTGTTTCAGAAGACTTTCACATTGAAAGTGTTATTTAATTATGTGTCACAATACAATAACTTGAAATACAATTTGATTGAATCAGATCAATTTTAACAAGATATATGCCACTCACCCAGCACCACTCCAAAATCCATTATGCCACATGTGATTGCCAGGAATATAATATGTGTGTTGCTAGAGATGGAGAGGCCTTGGGCTGTCACAGAAATCCCTTTTGAAGCGTGCCAACAATATTGTAATTTTGTCCACTGAAATCGTCACTTTGTGCTGTTTTCATATTCAACTTGTAGATTTTGAAAGTGAAGACCTCCATCAAGGCATTATGGAATTATGTCCTCCAAAATGTATATATATATATATATATATATTTTTTTTTTTTTCACACTTTTTACACAATATTACACTATTTTCTGATCTATGTTATAATGTTTCGTCATTACAGACTAGGACTGGGTATCATTAAGAAGTTGCTGATACGATACATACCTCGATACATAGGCCATGATATGATATGCTTTTCAATACAGTGCACTTTTGATTCAATACAATTCGATATGATATATTATTATGATATTTCAAATCGATTTGATATAGTTCAGTGAAAAACAAAGGCTAAATCATGACTGTGATAGTAAGTCCATTAAGTCTGTGCAAAGTAAAGACGAAAAACACCCATTTTACTCAAAACAGTGAAAATGTCAACACAACTGTTGCTCTTACACAAAATTATTTAGTAAAATATACCAAAAGTTACTCTTGACGATTTATCGATAGAGCAACCCATGATATCAATAGTGTATCATCAAATTAAATGTGTTTTTTTGTTTCATTCACACATGTTAAACACAGACCCTGCATATTTAGGCTGCGTTCTTCTCTCAAACTGAAAACTCTCCACCTTGTGATGTCATGTGGTAATACAGGAAGTGCTCCACTGTGTTTTTAAACTTCATACACCTTCACTGCTCCTACAATGTGTGTCTTGCTCACAGTGAAACAGTTGCTATATCAGAGCTTACTGGTCAACTTTCTTATTTTGTTAAAGAATTAATGGCCCCCGTCAGTAGTACTTTGTTTAGCATTAGAAATAATGAGTGGGTAAGCAATAGTCAGCTCATATTAAACTAAATTAAAGTTGAAGCAAGTTTATTTGTATAGCGCAAAGTAATTCAAAGTGTTTTACAGTAAGAAAGAAAGTTTATATCGTATCATTTAATGTGATGATACAGTATTGATATCGTGAGCTGCTGTATCGATATATCGCCAAGAGTATTTTTTCAGTGCATTTTACAGAATTTTCTTGTTACAGAGCTACAGTTTTGTTGCTTGTTCAGTGGAAGGAAACTCTTATGCAACACATTTGACATTTTTACTGTTTTGATGATTAAAATGTTTGTTTTTCAAATGAACTTTGCACAAGAAGTGGTTTAACAGAGACTTTTAGTATCACAGCCATGATTTAGCCATATCGAATTGTTTTGAAATATACTTTATCAAATCGAAAATGCACTGTATCGAGATATGTATTGTATCATGGCCTATGTATTGAGGTATGTATTGTATAGGCAACTTCTTAATGATACACAGCCCTAAAGAAAGACAAACAAAAAAAAATCACAAACAAATCAAAACAACAATAATCAGGATAAAATTAACATTAAAAGCAAAAAGAAGATTTAAGATTAAGATTTAAACATGGTCAAAGTAGAGGTCTGTCTTAGATTGGTTCAAAATTTTAGCTGCATCAAACTGAAACACCGACACCCAAGTTGAAAAAAATTAATCCAACACTTTGCCTATGAGTGACTTCACAACTCGCTGTATTCTTGCAAAAATACACTTCCTCAGATAAGCTGTTTTCTCTGCTCGCAGCACGTCCAAGTGGATAAGAGCGAGCGCACATCTGTTTGTGCCTTCATGCTTTGTGTTAGCCCATTACATCACTGTGTAACTGGAGTCGCACAGCTCAGAACAGCAGTCTTTGGGCATAATTACTTAATGTGTATTGGACTTTGTGTGCTGTTATTTGAAAACCAGCGCTAATGCAACGCTCGCTAACGACTTGGCTTCTCCTCCACACAGGAAGCTGGCTGAAATATCATGATTGGTGTTAGCATTAGCTGTATTTTATCCAGTTTCTTTGACTCATTACGTCTTTCCAAATCGTCCTTTTTTTTCTTCTTCTTCTTCTTTTCTTGCCGTCCTTTTCTCACATTCCGGTTCTTCCCGTTGCCGGCACAGCTGGGGGAAATGGGAAGCACATGATTGCAGATTAATCCCTGTTTAAGTCCCGGCAGCATTAGGCAAAGGGAGATCATTCAGAGCGTCCTCGGCACACACAGAGAGAGAGAGAGCCCCTGGAGTTGTTTGGA